CTGAGCGGTCGGGTTAGAACGGATAAAAGGAAGTCCTTCTTCACCCAAAGACTGATTAACACATGGGATTCACAGCCACAGGAGGTGGCGGCGGCTACAAGCATGGACGGCTTCAAAAGGGAATTAGATAAGCAAATGGAGCAGAGGTCCATCCGTGGGTATTAGCCACAAGGTATAGATAGGAACTCTTGGTCTGGGGCAAGGGATGCTCTGTCTTCTTGGTGCTTGGGGGTGGGGGTCAACAGTGGGAGGCCTTCTAGCGTCCTGGCCCCACTGCTGGACCTCCTGATGGCACCTGGTGTTTTTGGCCACTGTGTGACAACAGAGTGTTGGACTGGATGGGCTGTTGGCCTGATCCAGCATTGGCTTCTCTTAGGTTCTTATGTTCTTATGACTGGCCAGAGGGGCCATGGCTCACTGGTGGTTGAGCCTCTGCTTGGCATGCAGAAGGTCCCAGTTTCAATCTCTGGTGGGAAAAGGCCCAGGCAGGAGGTGATGTGGAAGACCTCGTCCTGAGACCCTGGAGAGAGAGCCACCAGTCTGAGTAGACAAGGCTGACCTGGATGGGCCCTGAGGGCCTGAGTCAGTAGAAGGCAGCCTCCCACATTCATGTGGGTAGACCAAAGGTATAAGGTGTGTTCAGACCTTTTAGCCTCACGGCAAACTGTGAAGAGAAAGGACAAGACCCAAAATGAAATTCTGTAATTTTTACGACAGGACCCAGGAAGCTCAACTAGTTACAGGGGGAAATGGGAAACGTCAAGCAGGAAGTCAAGGTGGCCTGCCCGGGCCGGGGAGCAAGGCAGGAGTTTCGCAGATCTCACAGAGGCAGAGATGTGGAAGGCAGTGATGCTGCTCATGATGTCGTCCTTGGGTCTTGGCGGAGGAGAGGGCGGTGGCTCACGGGAAGAGCCTCCGCTTGGCGTGCAGGAGGTCCCAGGTTCAGTCCCCGGCGGCATCCCCACGTAAAAGGACCAGGCAGGAGGTGATGTCCGAGACCCCTGCCTGAGACCCCAGAGAGCTGCTGCCAGTCTGAGCAGGCAGTACTGATTTTGACAGGCCGAGGGTCTGGCTCAGTATAAGGCAGCATCCTTTGTGGTGCCGGGTGGGAGGAAGCCTTTGCCCACTGCGCGGGCAGCCGGCTGTTCTGCGATGTGCCAGTCGATGGAGGAGGCAGCAGCCGAGCCTGTGCTCCAGCAGGGTTAGACCAAGAGAGTAGAATGGCCACACTGAGCAGCCCAAGGAAAGCCTGCAGACCCCCAGGGCCTGGCAAGCCCCCAACTCTCTTCCCCCTCAGAAGACGCCTGCCAGTTCAGAAGCCCTCTGAAGCCCTGGCAAACGGGCAGGGCTGGCGGCGCCTCCTGAAGATCTCGGGGGGGGGGCTCCCCTCACCTCTTCCGGGCGCTCATTCCACAGAGCCAGAAACATGATGGGAAAGGCCCGGGCTCTGCTCAGTGTCAAGCTGTGGGGTAGCCTGCAGATGGCTGCCTGACGGCTGCAGTTGGCACAGAGGGACATCTGGGAGGGACAAGATCCCAACTGATCTCGCCCGCACTCACGGCCTCTGTCTGCCTGCCTGCCTAGTGAACGGCGCCTGGGCCTCCTGGGGCGAGTGGTCCGACTGTGATGCCGAA